TCCTTTCGACCATTGGTTCCCCTTCGATCGACATGCTCTGATACCAATTTGATAGGAAACAATTGTAGATCGAAGTATTTCCTATCAATCTTTTAAAAAATAGCAAAAATTCTTCACAAAAAATTCGCACAAAAATCCCAAAAACAGTAGATACTTTGTATTACTTGATGAAAGCAAAACTGAAAATAGCAAGATACACTTGATCCTCTATTCGAGAGGAGGATCGATCTCTCCCAAATCTCTAGATGTTGCTAGAGCCCAAAGGAAACCTAAATCTAAGAGATCTCAAATTTCAGCCAAATTCAAAATGCCCTAACCCTAGGAAAACAAACTATTTAATGCATACAAATCAAAAGAAAATCCCTAAAGAGTCCCTATATTCAAATTTCCCTATCAAAACCCTTCCTAAAGGGGTGCTCGGACCGCCCAATCTCCGCAGAAGACAGACATCCCCCCTCTGTTTCGAAACACCAGTCCCATGTGGACCGACTGGACCGGTCTAACAGAAAGAAGTTTGTATCGGAGAAATCCTTGAAAGCACGACAAAGTCTGGCCAAAGATCTTACTAATGCTCATAATGATCTAGATAGAAGTATAAAGAAATTTTCTGCCAAGGAGGATAGAAGTATAAAGAAATTTTCTGCCAAGGAGGCCAAGATTGATCATTTTCATCTCTAGAATTACAAGATTCAATTTTAGGATGGGAGGGAGAGAAGCTTAAGGAGGTTTTAACGAGTTTGTAAAAAGCGCAGGAAGTTCTCTACCATACGAGTCAACTCGAGAGGTGTTGAAGGAAGAATTGGATAAGTTGTAAACTAGAAACAAGAGAAAGCCTTCATCTTTGTATTACATGAAGGTATTGATAAACTAGTTGAAAGATCGGAATTTGTATAGGTGATTACAAAGTTGATCTAGTTTCAATCACAGTTATAGTCATGAATTGAGAAAGATGATGATGCAGTAAATCACTTATAGTGGCAATACAAAAGAAGGTGACCAAGAGGAAAGTGCAACTAAAGGATAATGCAACACATGTGCCTTTTTCAAGTTACTGACTAGATTGAGTTTTTATGCTGTAATGCAGTGTTGTTGGAATGATTAAATCCTCCCAGGATCATTAATTACCCACATAAATAATTGATCGGAGTCTACATTGACACTGTTATGTATTTTAAATGGAGTGAACTTAAACTGGTTGGGGATCAATCTAACCTTTGTTGGGTTGTTGACTTTGAATACAGTATCCCAATAGAATTGATCTTGCCCTAGGATTGATCTTGCCCTTTAAGGGTCATTATGCCGCTAGGATTGATCTTGCCCTTTAAGGGTCATTATGCCGACGGAGAATTGTTTTGTCAAGTATTAAAAGATCAAGTCGTAATGTTGAATGAGTTGAATTAAAGATTGATTCTGTAATTAAGTATTGACGCCATAGCACAAATGCATATGCAAAGGCATAAGAGTTGATGTAGAGATCAAAGCCTCCTTAGATTGATGCAGTCATAGCACAAACTCATAAGGATCAAGCCACAACACAAACATGTAAATGTTGATGTTGAGATCAAAACCTCCATGGATTGAACTGGTACAACACAAACATGCATAAGTAAGATCAAGCCACAATGCACACGCACATGGGTTGATGCAAATAGTGAATCCTCAGTTTGATTTTAACTTTCTAGATCAAGATGTGACCTTGCCCAAGGGTAGAAGTCTAGTAAGGAATTATAAAATCAAATCACCTCCTTGGATTGATTTGACCCTTTAGGGGCACGGGCACTTGCCCGAAGAAAAAAATCCGGTGAAGGACTGTAGGATCAACTTGCAACATGAAAGCCTACAGTTGAGTGAATATCTCATCACAAATTGATCTGAATTTTCTAGGATTAGTATGTTAAATTGTATAAGGTGCAAATCCAGCAAGGGACTATATAATTAACTTGCAGTGCTAAAGCATACTATTTAATAAAATTGAACCTCCTTGAATTGATCTAACCCTTGAGATTAACATGAAAACCCTGCAAAGTATAGAAGTCCAACAAAGAGCTATAAAATCAAGCCGCCATGCAAAAGCACACATGAATTTATGTAGAAATAAAATCCCCCATGGATTGATCTGACCCTTTTGGAGTTAACATGCAACCTTACCTAGGAATAGAAGTTCAAAAACTGACTATGAATATAGATGGAAGAGATGGAGCTTAATGGATTAATAAAAGATTTTGAAAAAAAATTTGTATATTACGCCTTTGCATTGTGAGAAACTTTGAAAATATAGTCGTTTGATATCCCCTTTAACTACAACCATATATTGGATATCAATGTGGACATTAATTTAGAATGGATCTTGAATTGATATTGTGGTATGAGATTAATGCAGTACTAGACTATGGAGTATCACCCTTGGCATTTTCGACATCTCTTTATGTTGAAGGAAGTTTCTATGATTACCCTTAACTTTTATAAGGGTTAAGAGTTAAAAGTAATAAAACCTTGTTGACTATGCTGGTGGTGTTAACCAAAGCAAGAGGGATGATGGTGTGACCAACTAAGGAGTGATCGCCTAACTTATTTCATGTGTTGCAAGTGACATGGTTAAAAATAGGAGATAGCAAAATAGCTAGTTTGGGCCACAAAGCTATATAAGGGAGTGCAAGCCCTGTTATAGAGTAAGTGGAGTTATGGGCATATGAAGAGGTAAGGGCGACAACCCTAGCTTAAGTAATGAAATTGTATGAAGTGTTAGGCTTGCAATTTGCCTTCACAATTGACATATAATTTTTAGAAGATGCAACTTTTTTGTTCCCTCCTACTCAAAGATGCTAGAGTTTTGTTCTCATGTTGGTAGGAAAGATGATACCCCTCCCTCTTCAACACTAATTAGCTTTCTAGGCTCACTCATTAGAAGGTGCACTAAGGATTTTTAAGGATGCAAAGACCTTGTTTGCTCACCTAAACTCAATGAACTCGGTCTTTTACAGTTGGCCTCAAGAACTTTTAGTGAGGAACCTATGCAAGCAATGAAAACACATTAGAAGTGGGCACTGAAGTTTTGTAAAGAGGTGCAAACAACAATAACATGTGAGAAGTGGTCATCAAAATTGAGCGAAAGAATAGGTGGCAATGTCAGCTAGAGAGCTAGCATCAAAGCTTCATTGAGGTACAAGAAAATATAACAACTGAGGAGCAAGGATCAAAAGCATATAATGAGAACACTAAATGATTCCAACTAACTAGTTGGTATAAAAACCATGTAAAGGTGTGAGAAATGATGTTAGCTAAGGATTGAGGACTGCAACGGTATAGAGGCACAAAAAACAATCCCAGCTATGGAGCAGGCATTGGCATAGAAATAGCATGAAAAAAAGTAAATAATGATTTCAAATCTGCAAGTCATACAAAGACACATTCTACTTTCATTATGCAAGGTTATCCACCTATATCTAAAGTTTTAGTTTTAACCCTATAAATATTATATATGATATTTATGTCCTTGTATCATGATATAATTTCATTTATAAAATCTCCCAAATGGAATTCCTATTTCTTAATCTCATAATCTTCCAACTTTTATGGGTTCCTTACATAATATCATAACAAATGAAGCGGGATCAAACAAATTTAGTTTTTTGGTATACCCATATTTTTTCCAAGTCCTTTTTAAATATATTATATAAAGAGACCATGTTTTTATCATCAAATGGGATACTTCTTCACATACATAAAAGGGTAGAAGTAAATCATAAATGCTACTTTCTAATAATAGAAAGACTCCATCAAGGGTTGTTAAAAATTGTGGACCAAGGAGGGAGCAAAGTTAGAGCATATATATTAGTAGGCCAACCTTATTTTCAATCCAAAAGCTTAAGCTTATGGGGACAAACCACTTGATTCTTTGACACAATCAACTTTGATACCACTTGTTATGGAGCATTATGCATGGACCAAAGGGTATGCTATATGGACCAGTTATGTAGTCATGGAGTATGTTGTATCGACCACTTGTTATAGTGTATGTTGTATGAACCAAAGGGGAGGTAAATTTGGACTCAACCAAAAACTTAAGCCTATAAATGAGTGCCAAATACATTATATTTCTACACCATATTATAACCATTAGATATGAAACTAAAGTCTCACATGCATTAACAGGAGGAGCCTTCATAATTATATTAAATAATGTTAATGTGAGTATTTTGTCCATTAAGAAAATATATTAAAGATAGAATTTTTTTAGAATCTTTTATCCATCGTTATCAAATTATAGACATTTGGCAGAGACTTAAAAAAAGGAATCACCAATGAATTGCTTGAATACGATGGGAGAGAACAAGATGTTCTATGATTTCTTGAATTGCCATTTTTATAAAAATCAATTAATTCCAAATGTTAAAAAATTGCAACTAGTTTTAAAATAGCCTGATATTTTATAGAATTCCTAGATCTTCTCTATTCAAGAGCTTTGAATTACTTCCCTAATATCATATGATGAATTAAAAGGATGCATTGCTAAAAGATTTGAATCAATAAAGCATTAATAAACTTGTAACTTCAAATAATATAGAAATAAATTTTAAGAAATAAGAATCAAAACCTTCACACGTATTGATAAAAATATATCATAAACTTCAATCCATGTCCGATTGTAGTATACACACATTCTCACTATAGCAATAAATTGTTCACATTTAAGAATAACATACATCATGATATTTCCAAGCTAATTCAATAGAAAGGCCACGATATAGTAACAAAGGAGCAATGGAGAACGAAGACATGGAGATATTACTTCAGCTAATGCAACGCAGAAGCAATAACATAGGAACAAAAATAGAATAACCTGAAATACTCGAGAGAAAAGAAGGATACACAAATTTATTGAACAAAGCATGCATAAAGAACATGCACAAAGACAAGTAAACTCAACCAAAGTTTCACTTCCATCAAGTAAACACAACATAGGCGGAGTTAAACTAGAATCAATGACCAAATGACCTAACCTGATTCAGCAGAGCCTCATCAGTCGGGAGCCTCAGATCATCCTTGGTGTTTCCACTTTCAGTCAGAAGACTAACCTGCCGTGTTGTAAATGAATATAAATAAAGAGAATGGGGAGAGATGGAGGAAGAGATGATTGGCAGACACAAAAGTAAAATAAGAAAAACATACAAATCCATCTTCAGATATATCAATCAGTTGATAGTCAGTACGATTAACATGTGGAACCTGCATTTCATAAGCTATTAATTAGTGTCATGTCAAGCAAGGAATGAGATTTCATGAAATCAGCATAAAATATATAGTGCATACATCGCAGTTATGAGAAGAAGGCACAATATCCTCGAGTTTCTTGGAAGTAAAGATATCAATTGCAACAAAGTGACATTTTGCATGTCCATGCTTCCCAGTCTTGGATGTGGAAACCTCAACCACCTGTTTTAAAGCCAGAAATCAACAAATAAAGACAAGTGGGCAAATGCACGAAATGAACAAGGAAAAAAATAACAATAAAAACTTCCACCAAAGTATCAATTCAATACAAGCATCAAAACAAACTGTAATAAGTTGCATACTAGTTGCAACCAAGTAATCACAGAGGTGCATGGACAGGAAAGAAGAAGCATATGACAGACTTATTAAATATAGGCATTGCAAAGAACTGAAATAATGTCAAATAGCTGGATTTAAAGAAAAACTATCCTTACTTTGATATCCTGCATGAACAAGCAGATATGCTTTATAAAGACTGAAACAACCTCTTTAATAAAGAGGAACAACACCAGACACTAGCAGTATCCAAACCCACACTATAACATTGACCGAAACCTAAACATGCCATAACTTTGTCATGAGACACCCTAAAAGTCCTGCTCTCAATTTGCAACAAGATCAACAAAATTTTCAGTCCTCACACAACAGAAGTACAGAACTAACTTAACACCAATTCATCCCGGGTTACCATAAATCATATCATCGTGATTATAGCTACATCTAAAAGATGTTAAAAAAATTTAAGGTTAACCTTTCACATTTGACAGAAAACAATAACATGTCTCTCTCCTCGCTTGCATGGAGAACTTACAAGAATAACTTGTTCACCGATGTAGGTCTGACAAACTGTTGGTCGAATTAACTAAGTTGGCATAAGTAGATTCAACTAAAAGATTTTGGAAGAGTGGAGAGTAAGCATTGAGATGAAAAATCAATTAATACCTAGAATAAAATAAAGTGCATGCTTAAGAAAAGTACATATCTTATGCTCCGCCATTTAAGATTAACCTAAAAAGCGCAACTGAACTATACCAAGAAGCTTGAAGCAATTATGAGCGATCTTTAAACATTATCACCTTATTCCCACTTAATATAAAATATCGTAAGAAACTTTTTTGGCATGTTTTTATTCTAGCAAAAGCTACATATGAAGTATCAACAATGTTATAGAAGCAAAATTTTAGCTCTTTTCAGTCATATTTTTGGTTATGTTAAAGACCTTTTTGGTTCAGACATATTTCCTATCATAAAATGATTAATGAAATATGGCTTTAAGAAAAATTCTCAATTTTTTTATCAATATGAACATTCTAACAATCACTTGTAAGATAAAATTATTAAATTTCTCTCTTTATTAAAAAAATTAATAAGTAAATATATTCTATATGTTTATAAAATCAGTTTTGAATTTAAATTTTATTCATGTGCACTTGATGCGTGTGCTATTAAACTAATGCTTACAAGAAAACCAATAATTTCTTTACAAACTTGTCAATTAAGACTAAACAGATAAAAAAATATAAGAAAGGTATACGAATTAAATTTGTTCCATCCTAGCCACGGAAACGGGTTCCAGTTCAAATTATTGGATCGGTAACGCAAATAAACACTACAATACCTAAATAGCACAATTACAGCAAAAGCCAAATCTTCTTACTATTTCAAAGACAACCCACAGTATGTTGACATACGAGTTTCTTTCGCATGGTCACATACAGGATCTAATTAGGCACTCACCTTGCATGGTCTCCCCTTAATCACGATATACCCATTCTTCCGAATGGTTCCTGCCTGTTGCGGATAAGTCTTTGAAGCTCCAGCATCCGCCTTCGACTCAAACTGATGCTCCTCGTCAGACATATTTCCTGCTTGAAAACGCCGAAACAATCCACAGATGAGAACTAAAAGAAAACCCTAAACGAACCTAAATCAAACGAAGCCAATAACTCATTGAACTAAATGAGATCCGAAAAAAGAACGAAATCGGCAATACTTGAAGAGGTGGATAAGGCGGCGCATTACCTGTTGAGGAGACGACCGGTGGAGACGGCGAAGAAGGCGGCGAGGGACTTAAATAGCTAAGGAGACGGTGCAGGAAACCCGGATTCCACCGCAGTTTAGGGTTCTCCGAAGCACGGCCTAAAATTTGGTCTCACGTCCGGTCTCGCATATTACAGGCAATTTTCCGCCACGTGTGCTGTAAGATCTGCGCTGGTATCTTCTCGCGTTGGTGTTACGCATGTGACTTAACCGAAAACGATGACTTGGCCGTGCGGACAGAATTATCAGCTCGCACATAAATTTGCGTGCGGATAAAAAAAATAAAATAATGAATTAAATAATTAATAGGCAGCAGGGGTGGGGGCAGCGAGCAGCACGAGCAGGAGCGGGCGGGAATCAAAATTTTTTAAATTAAACAGGTTTTCGGGTTGACACGGCAACCCGTCGGGTCAACCCGAACCCGACCCATTTTTGCAAACGAGTCGGTTTTCCGAACCCGAACCAGACCCACTTCGGGTTCGGGTCAACCCATACCCTAAAATTCCGAGAGATAAGTGCCTAAAAACACATGTAATAAAGACTAAAAAATAATTAGAAGAAGACAAATTACCTAAAGAATCCGCACCTCTTGAAGACCTAAGGGAATCCAAGGTAGCAAAACTTTTTGTTGAACTTATTCCTATTTCGAGTCTATGAGTTGATATTTTTGTTCATTATGGATATAGAACCTTTGTTTTGCATCTTTTTCTTCCCTTTGGCATCGAGGTTTTCTATTCAAACTCTTCCTTCTTTGTTCGTATGTCACCATATATTTTGGACTTCTTTTTAATGAAATTTTTGGCCAATGACTCAAGTTTCCTAAAAAAAAAATCTAAATAAATTATTAGTTGCTAATGTTTTTGAATATGTTTTATATTTTGAATAATTTATGCTTGAAAATTTTAATGATAATAGAGCTTATAGAGTATTTAATGGGTAATTAAATGAAAATAATGATTATTTAAGAATAAATACATGTATTTTTTTAATAAGATTAATTGGTCTAATTAGAAATGATCTTGATGATGAACACATAGAATTTGTTAGCAAAATACTCTAAAAAATAAAGAAAATTGTACAACAAATGAACGGAATAATGCTAAGAATCATCATAAAAGATTAATAATTTTTGAATAATTTTTAAGATTTTTCACTTAAAAATTCTAATATCTCTTATGAATGTTACACCACTCTCATTTATCTATTTTTGTGCTAGATCTTCATACAAAGTTGGGACACTAAAATACTAAATTATACATCTCTCTATTGTTTTGATTTTTTTTCAAAACACAATAGTTTGGCAATTTATATGGGAATCGAGAGATGGCACGAGCAAGAGCATTGCAGGCGAGCGTAGGATCATTCTGCAGGTGAGTTTTTAGGGTCATTTCAGGTTAATTTCAGATTTCGGGTCAACCCGAACTCGACCCATCAGGCAAATGGGTTGATTAGAACATAAATTTTTCTGCTTGGATTCAGGTCGAATTTCAAGTCGAGCTAAATATTGACACCCCTACGGCCCTACCCTCAAGTATAAGTAACATAGAGTGCAAGCTTCTCCCTAATTAATCCGGATGAGGAAATAAGTCTACACGTGGTCAGAGTTGGCCCACCAATGTAAACACAATGCTGTGTGACATGTCTACTTGCAATTTACCTGTTTTTATTTACTTATAACAAATTTAATTTCCTGCAAATTAATTTTTAACCTCCCCACTAAATTTAATTATTCAAACAAATTTTCAGATGTCAATTAAACATCTTCAATAACAAATAAACCCTTGAACTTTTCCAAGCCAAAAGCTACAAAGTGCGCTTCTTTTAATTTTTCAAACAAATTTTCAAAGATATATTTACATATATACCTAATAATTCCAACATATTTACATATTTAATAACAAAAATTTGATATTTATTAATATAGCATTGTAAAATATATTTCATTTAATTTTTTTTTTTAATATTAATGATATGCTTGATATTATTTAAAAATAAAGAAATAAATAAATATTAATATTCAAATGAAAATTTTGTGTTAACAATATAAATCCAACATTTTCAAAAGCATCATTTCAACTTCTTCAAAAGTGATTAAGGATTTGTTTGTGACAGTTTTTGACCATTTTTTATTTTTAAAAAATTGCACTTAAAAGCTGCTATAAAAATGATAAGAAAATGATCAAAGGAAGCCAAAACCTAAACTTGTACTTTTTAAGCCAAAAACTACAAAGCAAAAGGATATATATCGTGGGATTGTTATCATGCTGCATGCCTAAACACAATCCTTTGGCAATGAAGCACAACTTACAGATTGCTGATGAAGCCTTCGTTTGAGATGGTTTTTTTATTGCTTCTTAAAACAATTTTTTAGTTTAAAAATTAAAATTTTTATGCTAAAAAACTGCTTTAATAAGTAGTAAAAAAACCGTCCCAAACAAAGCTTAAGAAGTCATTTGGGGTGATTTTTTATTGTTTTTTAAAGCAGCTTTTTAGTATAAAGCTTTAATTTTTGTACTAAAAACCTACTTTAAAAAGTAATAAGAAAATTATCCCAAACGAAGCCTAAAAAAACTTACTGTCGCAAAGATCTCTTGGATATGAAGTCGAAAGATATCCCATTTGCCTGAAGTTGTTCTTGCAGATCAGTCGCGCCGAATATGATTCCAGGTGGATAAACTCCTCCATTTGGTAAGTTTTTCCGTTGGCTTAACACAATGAAGGCACACTGAATCAGGATGATGGAGGTGGCCAAATATCCAATCTCAGGGCCTGATACTCTTGTGATTATCTCAGTATCAGGCTTTGTTTTACCCTCTGCTGCAAGTTTGACATCACTATAGCCTTGTCCTACAAACCACATCTTGAAAGTGGCACTATTAACTTCTTCTTCTGTCGGTCCTCTCTTACTAAACCAACCAAGGGAGAAGAGGCCAGGAAATCTCAACAGAAGCTTCCTCCCAAATGCAAACGTTCCAAAGAGACCGATGAAAAAACCAGTAAATATGAACCGGATGATGGCCCATGGAGACTTTGATCCGATCTTTACTGCGAAATGGGCTGGTTTCACAGTTGGCCATAGTTGTCTTCTCTTCACCTTGTGCTCGACAGATTCAATGACGCCTTGAAGACCTTGCGGGTTCTTTGTAAGAGCTGCAAAGGTTCTGCGAACAACAATGGCATCAGCAGAGGGTAGTTTCAGTGCCCAGAGACCCAATGACTTCTGCCGCTCAATGGATTTAGGTTTGAAAGGAGGACCAGGAATCTGTAGTAAGAAGAATACAGTTTAGAAGATTTCTGTGCGTTTGTTTCTAGAAATTGGAAAGAATAAGATCAAACAGATGAATAAAAGATAAATGGTGAAAAAAATTCTAAGAATTCTTATAACAAAAATGATGAATAAGGAAAAAATTTCCAGAGATTAACAAGGAAAAGAGATTTGACTGACCGATCAAGTGATTAAGCCTTAGTTTGGGACGACTTTCTTTCTGTTTCTTAGAGTAATTTTTTAGTACAAAAAATAATTTTTTTCTACTAGAAAGCTGCAAGCAGTAGGAAAATAATCCCAAACGAAGCCTAAATTAGCAGGTGAAAGGATTGGCTCTTACTGAATTACATAATTAATGATATCAAGGTCCCAAAAGTTATGACTGGACCCACAATTCCTCTTTCTCCTCGAAGTTCTTTCATTAATAAGTTCCTACCATCTGTGACTTAAGAATTGGGACACAGACGTTTCAACAAATTTTATTTCAATCACAAAGGGAGAAATCATAACCAAAAAAAAAAAAATCTACAAAGCACACGTTATTCAATAGTTTAGCCCAGAAAATAGAATTCACCTAACTCCATGACAAATAAATGCCTGTCATATTCAAGAGCACCAAGGAAAATATATTAAAAAAGTAACATAATAATTGCATTTGATTTTAAAAAGGAAAGAAAGCCAATAAAAAGAAAGGAGAAGGACCAGCAAGTGCATTTGGACTCACCCAGAAATCAAGGAAACTCAACTGATAAAGAAAGTTTTGCTAAAACCATTAAGTAGCGATGACATTGGATTGATTAATTTGATTCCTTCTTACATTCTTGGTCTATATAAACTTTGACAAAAAACATATCATTTTTCTCAAGTTCGCTAATAGTTGAGTGGCTTTTGCTTGATGGAAATATCTTTTTTTTTTCTTTTCTTTTATTTTTTCCTTTGGGTAATAACCAATCAACTAACAAAAAACAAGTGTATATGTAGCAGAAACTCATGAGAGGAAGTTGTGCCTTTATAATGAGCTTGAACAACAGGACTACATATGCGCCCAATTGTTCGTTCTTATGTCTTGTTTATGTTCTTGCTTGAGCAAGAAAAGCATAATTTATTGACTCAAGTTGAAGTGGCTTTGAAAATGTCTTATAGGATAAAGCTACAGCCAACAAGTCTATATAGGATGCCAATTACGATTCCGAGAATAATTAGTGACTGAATAATAATAAAATTTTAATGATATCCTAAATATATAGGTAATACCATATAATTAAGAGAAGGTTAATCATTATGCAACAATTAGGGGTGTATGTGAGTAAAGCCGGCTAAAACTCAACTCGTTAAATAACTCGCAAGTCGAGCTTATGGAGCTTCAAGTTCGAGCTCGAGCCTATAATCGAGCTCGTATATTATATGAGCTCAAGGTAGAGCTCAGCTTGACTCGACTTGAAATCTTGTCGAGCTACTATATATATATATATTTAAGTATTACCTTATATTATATGAATGAAAAAAAAAAAAAAAACTCTAGTTGCTCTTCTTTCGCAAACCCCATAGTCCGCACTACGGGATGGTTGGAGCTGCGACTGTGAGTATCTCTTCGCGCGCGTTAGGTATATCTCCTTCATGTTGCTTGTGTTTCAGACAACTGCAACTCTAAGGCTCTTCTTCTTGTTCGCCGGCTTGCACCCGTAGGTTATTGCCAAATTTTGCATTTTCACGGTAACCTTCCATGGAATCAGGAAATCCCACGTTTATTCTCTTCCTCTTCTTTATATTTTAAAAAATCCAGCTTCATATTCGAGCCAAGCTCAAGCTTCTAAAAGAGCTTGTTAGACAAGATCGAGCAAACGAGCCTAGCTCCACGAGATCGAGAGAGGTGGAGGATTGGAAGGGAAGAGCGGCTTTGGGTTGTAAGTGCAGGCTCGTGCACAAAAGACCGACAAGAAACGGGGAAAGTATTTCTTATTCTTCTTCTTCAAGAAGGAATCATAAATTAGAGCTTGAGTTATTTCTTCAAGTTATGTCAATTCAAAGGTTCAAAATTAACAAATTTACAGGTGAAAACGACTTTAGTCTGGAGGATCAAGATGAAAGCGTTGTGGTGCATCAAGGGATTTCAGATGTCATCTCAGCTGAAGGTCTTGCGGCAATAGTATATAAGGTGAAGGCAAGAGAGATGCAACTAAAAGCTCATAACACCATCCTTCTATCTCTTAGAGATGAATCATTGAGGGAGGTTGCGGAGGAAGAGTATGCCAAAGAGGTTTGACAAAAGCTTGAATCACTGTATTTGAAGAGATATTTAGCAAACATATTATTCTTGAAGAAACAACCATCCACTCTTCAAATGGAAGATTCGAAAGATTTGAGGAAGCATGTAGATGCCTTTAACAAAATCATTCTTGATCTGAAGAATGTGGACGTTAGAATCGATGAAGAAGATCAGGGCATCATCTTGCTTAGCTTGCTACTAAAAGTTCATGAACACATCGTTGATACAATGTTATATGGGAAGCAAACTTTGGCGATGACTGAGGTAAAGTCAATATTGATGTTAAAGGAGATTAAGCGGACACCAAAGATTAATGAGGAGAAGAATGGTGACATGTTGTTGGTTAGGGGCAAATCTAACGTTACAACAACAACAACATCAAGCATTTATCCCACTATATGGGGAAAGCTACATGAACCATTTATCTCCATTGTGTTCTGTTAAAAGTTTGGAGCAGATCTGAAGTTAGAAAAGAGAAAATCAACAAGATGTGTTATTGTTGTCACAAAGAGAGGCATTTCTAGAGAAATTTCCTAAATAGAGAGAAATGACAACAAGCTGAACTCAAAGAAGATGCTAACTTGGCAGTGACAGCAGATTGATTTATAGGTTTTGTGAGGATCAACTGAAAGAAGTTGTATCAAGGTGGGGATTGTTAGAATTTTTGTGATCCAAATTAATTCTGTTTTTGTATTTTCTATTAGCTTTATATAGGTGTACTTTTTTTTTTGGGACATTTAGGCCATTTAAGGCAAACTCACACACACGACGCATACACATAGACTCGAACCTTAGACCTCTTAGTTGGAAGCCTTAGCTCTCAACCAATAGGCCAAGGAGAGTTGTGTTATAGGTGTACTTTCTTTAGGCTTTTCTTGTACTAATTTGTATAGCCTTAGTATCTTCAGTTGTTAATAGCCTTTTACTCAGAAAATATGAGCTCAATAAAACATAACTCCAACCAAAGAACGAGAAGGAAAAAAAAAATCAGTACAAGACTGGGATCAACCATTACAAGAGCTTCGCGAAATATCAGATACTTACCTGCGGGCGTGCTCTTTTAGGTCTAGATCTCCTTAGCTCCTGTAAACTCGAAGCATTAGCCACCCCAAGAACCGCAGACATATAAGTACCGATATTCCCCACAATACTCCTTTCCGACTCCAAAACCACATACGCCTCCACCCGATTAGCCGCAGCAGGCGACTCCCACTGCCTCGAGTGAAAAATGAAACCCATCTCCGCCGGAATCGAATCAAATCCACAAGCCGAAATCACCAAAGATCCCGTCATTTTCGCCCTCTCGTGATATTCCACCTCCATTCGCTCCATGAACTCAGGCTCGCCGCATATATCAAGGTAGTCAGTACCCGCCTCAGCGCACGCAGCGACGACGGGGTTGCCGTATAGGCGGAAGGGACCGACACAGTTGAGAACGAGGCGGGTGCGTTCGAAAAGAGTGAGAAGTGAGGACGAATCAGAGACATCGGCGTAGAAGATGGGTATGGGAGGAGGAGAGCTGGGTGAAGCTGCCCACGCTAAGGCTTCCGATATCTTGGAAGGATTTCGGCCGGCAAGGGCTAGGGTTTTGAGTGGAGAGGTAGGTGTTGAGAGGAACTTCAGGGCTTCACGCAACACGTACCTGCCCGTGAAGCCGGAGGCGCCGAAGATGACGATGTCGAAGTCCCACCATGGCGAGGATTCCGATGCCATGGCTAAGAAGCTGATGTTGCGATCGATGGGAGTTCTGCGTTCACTAAATAGTGGAGGGCTTAGCATGGAGCCCAGCTCGCTCAAGCTCGACTCAGACTAACGACTCATAAGCCGAGTTTAGGGGCGACGAACTGAAGCTCAAGCTCCTTTACTAAATAGTCAATAAGTTCAAATTCTAGCTTAAAAAGTCTCAGGCTCTCAGCTCGCAAGCTTCTGAACCGACTCGTAAAAATATTATAAATATTAATATATATATATATATAATTTTTTTAATGCATTAAGTCCTTTTTAACTTAATAAAAAATGACAGAATAACATGAATTAAAAAAAAAAAAAAATTGTCAGATATACTCTTGTCCTCAACGCCCTAGCATTTATTTAGTTTTTTTTAGCAAGTTAGGAGTCATAAATTTTTTTTTTTTGGAATGTAATAAAGTTCTCAACTACCTTGCCACAACATTCATAACTGTGTTGATTGTTACTGAGAAAAAAAAAAAAAGTAAAATCAAAATCAAACAGGCTGCGTCATACGATTTGGCGTAATCAGACTTAGTCAAATCATTTGACGCATTCCTTCAATTATTTGGCTAACTTGCTCCATTTTAAACTTAAAAATTAATGTACTCCTAATACTAAAATAAATATCGCGTGCCTGCTCCTTCCTAAAATAAACCCCAAAACAAAAATCTTTGGCCAAACAAACTAATTAATTCTAATATAGAATCCTAAGCTCCTAAAGATGTGAAAAATCTTCTTCTTAATTATTATTATTTTGAGATTTTATGGTAAGATCTATTCAAGTAAGACTTCTTTTGGACAATTTTTTAATCATTATTTTTTCTCTTCTCTTCACAATTTTTTTTATTAGAAAGCTGTCAAAAAATTGAAGAATAAGATGAATTTACTTCAAATTGGTTTAATCACGTTAATCTCTTAAGGAGATCCCTCAATAATTGAATAAATTCTTCTGTGCGGACACCAAATGATCCGAAGGCCAACCAGAACGCGCCACATCACCCAGCACACAGAGGTACATGCATTGTTACCGAGCAAAGAAATGACATGATGCGTTCGGGTTGGCCTCTGAACGGCATCTAGTGTCCGCACTAAATAGTTTTTCTAATAATTGAGGCTTCATTTTGAAAACTGCTTTGTAAAATGATTTTCTATTACATAATTTTTTAATTCAAAAAAAAAAATTGTACTATAAAGCTGTTTTAGAAAGCAACAAAAAAATTATCTCAAACGAAGCCTTACTGAATAACATTGATTATTTGGATGGCTTTTTTTGGTGTGGCGGTTGTTTGCGTTTCCTTGGGTTGCATATCATCATTGCAAGGAGCCAAAAACTTCTTCAAATAATTTTATTCTATCAGCTAGTGAAATAGTACCTTCAATATTCGATAGCCCTTGGTGTTATGATCGGAACATGGTGATATAGACAAAATATGAATTTAATTTTTTCTTTGGCTTCGTTTGTGATAGCTTTAGATTGTTATTTTTTGTCGCTTTCAAGATGTTTTTGTACTACAAAGCAGTAAAATAGTCATCCCAAATAAAATCTTAAGTAGACCTCTTCATTCAAGCAAGCTAAGAAAACAATTCTTTACTGAATGACAAATATAACCATAACTAGAGACATTAAATGGGTGCTTCATAAAATCTCATAGTCAGTGGGAGAAATTGGTTTTTTATTTATCTTCTTCTCCTAGTGTAGGTGTGCAGCATTGGCTTCTAGATTTTTCGTCTTCCTAAGATCAGATGAGATGAGAACTACTTGGCTGGCAAATTCAACCGGCAAATGAACTATTTAGCACTAATGAAGCTTTCATATACAACACCTCTATAGTGCTAAGAAGGTTCTTGTTATATTAGAAGCAAATAACTAAGAAAGAAAAAAACAAAATTTTTTTTTCAATGAGTTTAGCATTGCAACATGTAAGAAATTGAATCAACTAAGACTTCATTTGAGACAGCTTTCTTAGTACTTTTTAAAACAAAATTTTTAACGTAATTCACATGTGGCTATCTGATCATGACAAGGATAATCAACCTTTGAGTATTCTCCCTGAAGGTTTATCATAATTTGTTTGGATTGCCCTATGAAGAAATCTTGCATAGGGTGAAATTGGATATCATTCACTCAGCGAAGAGGTAGTAGCTTGTCCCTGCCTCAAACTTTGGCTCTTGCCACATAGTTGCCATTCCTCTATTCCATGTGGACTATGGGAAACCTCAAACCTGAGATCATTACGGATGTAACCGAGTCAAGCCGACTCGCAAGCCAGCTCGGCTCGACTTGCTAATAGGCTCGGCAAGCTTATCGAGCTCGAACAGGATTTCAGGCTCAACGGCTAATCGAGCTTGAGTTCGAACAACACAGCGGCTCGCAAACTAAGGGAAATGTTGCGGGTGGGATGTTTCGCGGGTGGGAAATGCCGTGAGCTAGAAATCAACACGGGCAAAAAAACCCCTTCCGTCTCTGATCTCTCCCAGATGGCATGAGAGAAACGATTACAATGGCTGTTAAGATGCTCAACCAGTATGGTTTGCAGGGACATAAGTTGAAGTGCAGTTTTTTTGGGATATGCTTGAATGTTTTTTTTAAGTTATGTATAAATTAATAAAATATTTTATAAAATAATTAGAGTTTAAGTTAGAATTGTTAATATAAAGAGTTAAAAAAATTAAATTTGAACAAATTTTATTCATCTTTATATATGTAAGGGTGACAAGGTAATTTGTTGTCAAACAACAGCAGCACAGCAGTTTGACAGTAATACTACCCAAACAAAATTGACTGATTTCTATACAGCAACTTTAGAAAGCAGCTTTATGTACAACAATTTTGCAACATGCATTACCGACAGCTATAGCCGTCCCAAACGCACCCTTAGATGCCATTCATTACTTCAACAAGGATGAGGCCGTATCGCTTGTTTGTTACTAGAAGATTAGGGTTTCTTTTGGAAAAAAATTATTACGTGCGAACGTCAAATAAGTTTAGACGTCAATCAGGAGCCATTACGTCACTTAATATACAATGTATTGCGTGACGTGGCTCTTAATTGGCATCCAGACATATTTGACGTTCACATGTAATAATCGCACTCTTTTGGGATAGTATTTTTACTTTTTCAAAGTAATTTTTAATATAAAAATGTCTTAATAATAACAAAAAATTATCCTAAACTAATCCTAAATCTCTTAATCCTCTTTCTAATTAAGAAACTCACATTAGAATCACAGTACGAAATGCTTAAGGGCAAGTTTGGATCAATCTTTATTTTAAAGAAAATTTACATATACATATAGCAATTAAAATGATCCTTTTTTACATATTTGCCATAATTTATATATTAAAGGATACAACAACAACAACATTAAGTCTTTATCCTACTACTTGGGGTTGGCTACATGAATTCTTTTCTCTATTGTGTCATATTAAAAGTCAAATTCTCGTTTAAATCTAATAAAGAAAGGTCATTCATAATATTTTATAACCAAGTCTTTTTAGGTATGCCTCTACCTTTCTTAATATAAGTCAAATATAATACATCTACTCTCCTAATCAGATCATCGGAAGGCCGCCATTTTATGTGACCAAACCATCTAAGGCGAACCTCTCTAATCTTATCTTCTATTGGAGCTACTCCAACCTTTTCACATATATGCTCATTTCGTATTCTATCTTTAAAGGAAAAGCCACTCATCCACTTGAGCATCCTCATCTCTGCCACACTTAACTTAGTATTATGCTTCTCTTTTAATGGCCAACATTCGATACCATAAAGCACTGCAGGCCTCGCCATCATCTTATATAATTTTCCTTGAGTTTGAGGAGTACTTTTCTATCACACAATAAGCCCGATGCATTCCTCCACTTCAACCATCCAACTTGAATTCTGCTGATAACATCCCAATCTATTTCACCATCACTCTGAACAATAGATCCAAAGTATCTAAAATGTGAACTCTTATTAATGACTTGATCGCCCAAAGTCACAATCCCCTCGCTAGGTCTATCACTACTAAAATTACACTCCATATATTCCGTTTTAGATCTACTCAAGTGAAAACCTTAGACTCTAAAGTTGACCTCCATAATTCAAGTTTACCTTCAACTCCCTCTCTAGTTTTATCAACAAGAAGAATATCATCAGCCAAAAATATACACCAAGGTATATCCTCTTGCAAATGTCTAGGCAAAAAGATATGGGCTTAAGGCTGATCATTGATGTAACCCAACCGAAATAGGGAAATACTTGTTAGGGAAATATTTGGTTAAGGCTGACCTCCATAATTTATATATTAATTAAAGGATAATAAGAAATTAATTAAGATTTTAATTTGATAAATAAGCATGGCATGATAAATCAATTGATTAATTAGCTTGATGATAATTAATTATTTAGATTGAATGTTAGTTAATTAGGATTTTGTTAAGATTATTAAGATATTTTATTATTAAAATATGTTAATTAAGCATGAACTAATCAACTACTTAATATAGAATTTGACTTTAAATAAGACACCATAAAAAAAAAAAGATTCATATAGTCAAAGCCCAAGTAGTAGGGTAAATGTTTGTTATTATTGGGGTATAGAAATTGATAATTTAAGATAATTAAAAATTAATTGAAGTGTTAAGTGGGTTCATTTATATTTTATTAGTATTAATTGTATAATTAAGTCTGAAATACTTAATCAAAGCATAATTAGCAAAAAATTATAATTATCAATTAATTTAGGTTAATTAAAGTTACATGTTATAAAATATATTAAAAATAGTGCATCATTTTCTATAGGATAGGAGGTGCTAGAGTTGAAATAGCTAAAGAACTCCATTTTCATTTTCAACAATCACTATGAAAAACCATAATTAGTATTCACTATCATCATTGTCAGACTTTCATCATCCAATTATTATTATTTTACTACTAACATACAATTATGATGTTGAGCCTTAAATTCCATATGTCAACACCTGATTTATGTAGTCTTTATAATGAGAATCAATCAATTATTTTCAATTATGTATAATCTCATAATCTTCAATTGCAAACAAAGGAAGATTCTTGAATATTCTATTATTTATGGGATTCATTCGACT